CACTTGTGCCCATGTCAGCTTTCAGGTAAGCCAGAAGCAATGGGTGTCAGCTTGTGAGGGAAAATGAAAGGTAATTAAATTTTTCTGTATGTCAGTAGGCTTACTTTATGAGAATGAAGCTGCAGGCTTACCATCTCCACTGAAAAACATAGGCTGTCAGTAGCAATAGCCACTGTCAAATAACAAGAGCAGCTAGTAACCCAGCCTTTGATGTGAGGCAAAGCTGAGAAGGCATAGAGGGGGCATCTAGGAGTCAAGCTGCCTCTCAGAGAGATCACAGCCTGTAAGTCTAGCTCTGTATTTCAGCTGCCTCATCTCTGCTGCCAGAAATCCTGGGCATGGGAGAAACAGCAATGGAAAATCCTGCTAAGTCATTGTCCCACCTCAGTCACGCCTGGTTTGGTAGGCTCAGCAATGCCATGCAGGAATCCACAAGCATACTGGAAAATTAATAGTGGTTCTGGAGACTGAGTAGGAGTGAAACCCACTAAGCTGTAACATTTTCTCTTCAAAGAGAGAAGAACTGTTCAAGCAGCCCCCAAGCCCTAACACTAATTCAATGGGATATACCCAGGTCCCACTGAATTCCACTGAAGTTTTGTCAGAGATTTTAATTAGATCAATATGTTGGTGTCTGAGTTTTACTGCACAAGTCTTTCTGAGATTGTGATTAATTTCTCAGTCACCTAATTTTATCTGAAATGCTTCCTATAGTGCTGCTCACACTGCTGGAAAATGGATTTAGATGAGACAAATATTAAAGGTGGGCCTTACTGAGGCTGCCTGTGATTTCCCCTCTCTCTGGTTCATTAAGTTCCAGACCTAACACAGCCTTTTCTACTCAGTGATGCTGCACAGAAGACTGGCTCCTCCAGACTCATTTAAGCTATCGTGATATGAGTCAGCTGTGGAAAAGGCCCAGGGTCTTCCCAAATCCTGGCCTAAGAAGTAAAGGAATAAACTGCTGACTGCACTGCATTTTCCTATGTCAGAAGAGGATTAATGTTTTCAGGCTGCTTTGAAAATTAAAACTGCCATGTGGTACAATATTGTTGTTCCTGTTGTTCACCCTGTAGCTGCTATGTAGCCTGTCCCTTGCAAACTAATAGGAAATTGCTTCTGTTATTTTTGGTGTTTTTCAGTGGAGCTGCTACAGCCTGCTGCTTTGTTCGAATAAATGTGCCCTACCTCACCCTCCCCTGTCCCCCTTCCTCTAAGCTCCTCTGCAAGGGAAATAAAAACATCAGTCCCTGGCACCATCTGTCAGGCACAGGCTAATCCATTCTCTGCTTGCCTCATGGCCAGTTTGGTTTCATTCTGATTTGTACAGGTCCCCTTCCTATTACTGAGAATGTAATACCATTCATAGGTCTGGTCTTTGCTTTATTTTCATGGTAATATCGTTATGACAATTGAAATATTTAGACATACATGCCTTCCACATGCCCAGACTGCAGAACAGTACTTAAGCAAACATGCAAACACCCAGGAAGGCGGGTAGCACTGCTCTCTCCATTTCACTGAGGGAAAATGAAGCAAAAAGAACTGACTTGCTCAGGGATGTATGGATGCCTCAGCAGCAGAGCTAAGCAGAGAGCTCCCAGGTCCCTGGATAAGACCCAGTCACTGATTCCAACTAAGGCACCATTGTTTTGACTCTTTTTCCTCTTGTTTTGGCTTTGCTTGCTTACAGTAATTCCTATAGGACCATGGCAAAGATGATTAAGACGTGGACCTTCATATAGCTTCTGTGACAAGACTGAGCAGATCCACCGGGGACAAAGCTCACAGTTACTCAGTGCACAGCAGCAGATCAGGTCAATCTGTTAACAAACAGGGCACGTTAGGCCAGTTATTTCCTCCATTTGCTGGTGGTAAGTGGGAGCCCAGGCATGGTCTTTACAGGTTCCGTCTCATATTCTTAGTACCCCTGTTATCTTCATGCCATTAACTAAGGCTATTGCTGTCTGACTGCTCCAACACTTTTCACTTCCTTTGCATGATCTAAAGAGAGGTTGATGACAGGTCAATGAGAAATGTCAATGCTCGGAATCAGGCCAGAGCTGACCATACTGAAGACGTCTGATTTTTGAGATGTCTGCCCAAAGCAAACAGCAGTTCTTAACATACTGATGTTGACCCATCACTGACTGTACCTTCACACAGGCAGTTGTGTACCTCTCTACCTAGCTATTTTTAGAGGTAAAAGAAAGAATCCATGCAAGAAGACACAAGCTGAAGAGCAGCTTGGGCATAATAGTACATGCTGCCTGCTGTACGTTCACAGGGATGTCCCTTTACCTTTGATGTGACATGACAAAAGAGTCCTGCCGAGTCATTCTATCCTGCAAGTACTGCAGCTCCTTTGGTGATACCACACAGATAGACCCAGGAATCACTGTACATAAAAAATACACTTTCTCTAACATGGATGTGGTATTATTAGAGAGGAAATCCTTAAAATTGCATGGCTTGCCTCATAGGAGAAGGAAAAAACCCAGTCCTTTTCACGTCTTTTTCATAACCAACAACTCACAATGATGTTTTTCATTGTATTTTGGCCAAGACCACTATTTATTTGCCAAGGATGCAATCTGTGTGCGAGCACCGAGCCACTGAAACTGGCAGGGAATTGATAATGCAACCAGTGGCCAGGAAGGGCCACAAACACTTTTGCCTCTTTCTCCTGATCCTTCATCACGGGCAATGTTTAACGTGTCACACAAAGATTTCAACTTGAGTGGCCCGAAACATTCAAGCACTATCAGTGGCAGCTTCACGGAGGTGAGGATGAGGCTGACGGGTACCTCGGCACTCTTCTCCGCCTCAAACCCTCACAGGGCCCGTGGCATGGTGAAGCTCAGGGCCAGGGCAGGCCACGACCCTGGGCGTGCAGGGGCCTGGAGACGGGTCTCCCCCTCCTCCCAGCCCGGCCGACGGCGCCGTGCTCCGGCTGTCGGTTCCCGCAGCAAGCGGCGGGCGCCTCTGACAGGGCTGCTCAGGGAAGGGGGCCTGGGAAACAGACGGGGGGAGCGGAGGGCACTGGGCTCGGCGCGGCGGCCGTGTCGGCCGGGGAAGGGCCGAGCGGTGCCCG